CATGGCTGTACCATTGAAAATGACTGCTCTATCTACCAGTAGCTGGCATTTTCTCCCTCTGGTCTTTATGCCAATTTTCTTCTGGGCCCTGTTCATGTTTTAAACCATGCTTGTTCATCTTAACCCTTATGATGTCTAACAGGAGTTTTCATGTTGTCCTGAGGCAGGTTATTTTCCAGTAATTAGATGGTACCAGTCCCTTTTGGGGATCCTTGGGGAAGAAGAAACTGTCCAGCCTTCAGTTAGGTGTTCCAGATGTGTCTCCTCCATTAGCAGCTGGTTCAGACACTCATGGAGTACAGTTACCTTCTTTAGCCAGTAGGTGTGACTCATGTCAGGCTGTGGTGCTGTCCTGCCATTCATGCTTGAGACTCTTTCCTGGATGTCTGCTACTCTGATGGATCCTGTTCAGGTCTCCCATATGCTTTTCCAGTATTGCTTATTTACCTCCAGCCTTGGTGGGGTTGTTCACACCTTGTTCCCCTGCCACTACGAGTAGAAACTAGTGAAGAAAATTCTGATTTGTTCTCCTGGCTTCTGTTTCTTCAAATGGCTGTAAGTATTTGCTTGGCAGGATTAGGCAGCTTGCTGTATATCTTAGGCATCAGTTTCCTCATCAGGCATTTCTGCAGCTCCAATAGTTGGTTTCCCTCTGTGCCTAATCTCTTTCTCCATGGAGGGTACTGCTCTTGGTGGAGCCAAGCATTTCAGTGATCACTACCATGATCTACCATGGTGTAGATCAGCTGCTTGGTTTCAGTGATGGTCGGGATTCACATCTCGTAGTAGGACATCACGTAGTCTGGGTAATCGGCCATGGAGGGACCAGGTTTCCTTGCCAGCCACGATCAGCTGCTCTCACACTCAATGCTTTCAGCTGGATATTGGCTTTCTCTATTTTACCATACTATTTAGTCATTTCACAAAATGTAAATTGCCAGTAAATGTAAATCAATTAACTTTGATGGTCCCGTGTCTTTCTGTCTTCATTGTCTTAGACACCATGGTGAAACACCTCCAGTCTGCAAATGCCTATCGGAGTTTTGCTGAGTTTCGCCAGGAATCCAGCACATTGCACTCTCTCCAGCATCCCTGCATTGTCTCGCTAGTGGGCATCAGCATTCATCCACTCTGCTTCGCCCTACAGTTAGCCCCCTTGGGTAGCCTCAACACAGTGTTGGAGGAAAAGCACAAAGGCAAAAGTATATAGTGATCTTCACCTTCTGATTTGCCATTTGAAGTTGATTTTAAAACTTGCTCGATATTACTGAGATATGAAGATATGTCTTGTCTTTCTAGGCTTCAAGTACATGCCGCTTGGACACATGCTAACCTTCAAAGTAGCCTATCAGATTGCAGCAGGACTGGGATACCTTCACAGAAAGAGCATCATCTTCTGTGACCTCAAATCTGATAACATTCTGGTGTGGTCTCTGGAGGTCTGTAAAATGTTTTTAAGCTTTCTAGTTTACATGGTTCATCAAAAAGATTCATCCAATTAATTTTGTTCTTTTTATCTTTTTTTTAAAATCCTGTCCTGTCCGGCA